GTGAGTGAAAGAGGTCAGAACTAGGTGCAATGGGTCAGAAGTGGGTGAAATGGATCAAAAGTTGGTGGGATTAGCGAAATAGGTCAGAAGGGGGGTGAAAAGTTGGTGGAATTAGTGAAATAGGTCAGAAGTGGGCGGAAGTGGATGAAGTAGGTCAGAGGTGGGTGGAATGAGTGAAATAGGTCAGAAGTGGACGGAAGTGGATGAAATAAGTCAGAGATGGGTGAAATAGGGCAGAAGTAGGTGTTATGGGACAGAAATGGGTGAAAGAGGTCAGAACTAGGTGAACAGGGTGGAAACGGGGAAAATAAGGTAGAGGTGATTGAAATAGGGTGGGAATGGGTGAAATAGGTTATAAGTGGGTGAAACAGGGTAGGAATGGGAGAATTTGGGTGGAATACCGTGGGACAGTGTATTTTTTGGTGGGTGAATCTGGGTGTGTAAGTGGGTAGGTGTCGATTTGCTTGTTGTTTTTATTCATTACTGATATCCTTAATCAGACCCAAAGCTACCTACACCCGATCAAATATCGAGGGTCATAATCCTGACCGAGCTGGAGTCGATAGTCGTCAGGCTGATGGTTCGGAATTTAAAATGTATAAAGTTTATCAATTGGGGCTCGAAGGTGTGTGGGTGTTGGTGTTACGGTGGGTATAAGTGATGAGGGTGTGTGGATGTGAGTTGGAGACTCTAGCCGTCGCAGCGGTTATTCATGCAGAATGAATGTGGGTGTTGGTGAGCGGGTATCGGAGTCGTAGCGGGTGTAGACGGTGAAGGGTGTTGGTGTGTGTGGGTGAGTTTATGTAAGTGCAGCAGCGAGTGAGTGTTGTTGAATGAGTGCGGCTGTGAGTGGCTGGGTGTCAGCGTGTGTTTTGTTCTGATTTATTAGCGATATCTATAGTTACATCGAAATTCTCAATAACAAACAGTCCTATACTCTTACAGTCGAGGGTGAAGTGAGTCGAAACGGCGAACGTTACTTGTATAATAAATAATAAAGTATTACTTAAATCTGTTATATGTTGGTGCATATATGATTTATTTGATGTTATAATATAATTTGAACACACACCTCTCACCTCTACTTTCTTATATAGTATACTAGCAGTGGCGGATCTACAATTTTTATAATGGAAGGTCATTTCGATCAAAAAAAATCATATTATCGCTCCCATTCGATATATTATCTATCGAACTTCAGACTATTTTTGCTAAAAAAACCTTAAGATAGGATGCGATCGTATTCTCTTTAAATCCGCTCTATCAGTAAAAAAGATTATTATGAATATAATCTCTTATTTTGCGTCTATTTTTTAAAATAAAGAATCTATTGATGTTTATATTATAGGATAAATTTAAAAGAATGATATTATGATTTAAATATTAATTCTACTGAAAATTTCAATATATTTTTTTTTTATTACGAACATTCTGATCGTAATCACTGTGTGCTAATCGTTATGAATAAATATGCTATTGCGTAGACGTGATGTATATCGCCATTTCTTTTCGTTCTTACGAAAGAGAAAAATAATCTTAATTGAAATTCAAGGCCACCATTAAGACTATCAAACAATCTGACTTTTCTTATGCATATAATATATAAAATATGTTAAGAAAGTAGGATTGAAAATTAATTACATTTTTGTAGAACTAGTTGATGTATAAAAAGATATACAAAGATGAAACCTTGTAGGTTACAGTTCATATATATATATTAGTTTGGTTTAGATTTAGTCCTCTCAAACATTTTTATTGTTTAAATATATATTTTGTATAAGAGAAATAATAATTTCCTAAGGGTAATTGTTAATTTTTCTAATGTAATACTTACCATATAATTTTTGTTGATTATAATTAATTTTTCTCATATTAAAAATAATGTTTCGATTATTTCTTTTAAAATAATTCTTCGTTAGTCATCAATATTAAATCAAACAGGGAAGAATGACAAGAAATAATATGATATTTTTTTTTATCGACAAAAAAAAATATTATTAATGTCATAGAAGCCAATTCAGTATTTATAACATATCTGAAATATTATTATTTTTCTTATTCATATCTTAAGAATGGAAAATGTATGTATAGTTCTAATCTTGAATTGATTTATTGAAATTTCTGATGATATTGAGGTACGATTCCTCTTACGTTTATAGATCATAATTCTATGGTTTCTAGATATTTTGAATCATTGTCGAGCCTATATTCTGAAAAAGTAGATCGAGATTGATACTAATTTTCAGTAAAATATATAAATATGCTCGTTTGATTTTAAAAAATTCAAATAATCTATCTAGGAACAATAGAGAGTAGCAAGATAAATAAAACGGTTAAAATATATTTGTTTGCACACGATATAGAAATTTCTACTTATCAAAAATTTATTTTATCAGTTAAATTTGGACAAAAATAAACTTGCAGTTTGATTGATTAAACATATTGATAGACTCAGGTTTTAGTTATTCAATCTTTCTTTCATATCGGTATCGAAAAGTTATTGTAGATGGCGTTGTCATAATTTGGAAAGAATAAAAGATGATAGAAGTATCATTAATAATCTCTAATTTCAGTATAAAACGAATAAATATCAGGTATATTAATTGATTTTGAAGATCTACGAAATATAGGATATACTATAGAGTATCTACGATTGTACAAAACAAAGTTACTTGGTCATTTCTATCATATGAACATCAAATAAGATAAAGTGTAAATAGTTTTAATAGAGCACGATGAATGAATTATGATTTTACATCACTACATATATGAATATGGAAAAACAAATTATATTCCATAGCTTGTACTAGTATATTTCTGTCTCAAACTATTTATTCAACTAATAATAATCTATTCTCATAAACAGTAACTTATTTCATTACTGACAGCAAGCCTGATATTATTGTCGTTAATGCCTTTTTTTTGTTGAACAATATCCGCATTCTTATACATTGTTAAAAATTTATTTATTTCATTTCTTCGATAAAATCAAAACTTCAATTTTTGACCTAAAATATTCATTAGATCAGGTTATTTATAAAAATTTTAATGCATTATCACTGGGATATGTCTTTTTTTCACAAATACTACTATCACAAAAAATTAAAATTTTGATATTACCGAAAGATTGAACTATTCGAATTTAATACATTAGTATTTTAACCTAATCACAGCTTACGTTTATATCACCATCGAGATTAATTTTTAGATTTTGTATGCGAATTTTTTTCAATCAAACTAATCTATAGGAAATATATTTTCGAACTTAATCAACGTTAAATAATTAACGAAAATTTTATATCGTTTATTATTATGTATATAAATGATCATCCATTAATCGAATTAATTATAATTAGAGGCCTGTGTATCTGAAAAGTGAACTTTTATCAAGTCCAAAAAACATGAATCCGAAATTTCCTAATTATAACATTTTCTTCGTCTTTATTCTAGCTTCGGATTCTTCCGTCTGGTATTCTAAATATTTTAAACAAATAGATTCTACAAAAAGATGATTGTTTTTTTTTAATATTTTCGTTCTATTTAAAATATTATAATACTGCATCAGTTAATCTAATACTCATTCCAAAATAATAGGAGGATGAGTGTTGTCTCTATAACTTTCTATAGGAATAAGATAGAGAGTTGTGCTTTTCACTGTTGGAAAGAGGTGATAATGATGTATTGCAAGTTATTCAAAAAAAATGTCCACTCGGTTTTTATTTTGAAATGGACAATAGAAAGATATTTATTTGCCCTTTTTTTAATCATTACTAGTCATTAATATGATTATACATCTTCGACATGTAGCAAATCGTCGATAAGAGAGATAGTTGAGTTTAGTTCTATATTTAAATCTTAATGAATTATCTTTCGCCCTAATTGGATAATCTAAACTTATAAATATACACTTGTCTAGGATGGATTCGACATACTCAATTAAAAACAAGACGATTCAACGAGGTTTATATATAGAAATGAACTTAAAATATACCAAAATATTGATGCAAAACTAATAGAATCACGATACAGTAAAATTTATGATAAATTTTAATTTTATTAATCTAATATTCTATCCTAGTAATACAATACAAAAGAAAAATTTCAAGATTATTTTATTGTTTTTTATACTAATGAATTTAAATTCGTAGAATGATGAAAAACTTCAATATGAAATTGACAATGAAAATTCGTATAACCAATAATTTTGAACAAAAAAAATATCAATTCATTATCTTCAATTCGTACGATAATCTATGAATTAAAAATAATAGAACAAAATAAAAAAAAAATTTTGCAGAATTATAAATATAAAAAAGAATTGTCTTGATTAATATTATTAATATACATGAAGTAAATATTTATGAGAATATTTTTGTAAATAACATTATCATTGAAATAAATATGCATATATTGTATCGAATTTGACCTAAAATTATAATATTTTTAAGTAAATATAATTCAAAAAATAAAAACAAAAAACACGATACCATTTAGAGTCGTGCCAGTAGAAGGTCTTGCCGTTGTTGTCGTCATATTTGCTGTCATATTTGTTACCATCATTACTGTAGTTACATTCATTGAAGTTGTTGCTACTCCCATTGATATAGTCGTCGAAGCTATTGTTGTTGTCACTCCTACAACAACCGTTGCAGTTGTTGTTGTCGTTATTCCTACAACAACCACTGGAGTTGTTGTTGTTACTCCTACAACGACCACTGGAGTTGTTACTCCCATAACAATCGTTGGAGTTGTTAGTATTCCTATACCAGATGCTGCAGTTGTTGTTACTCCCGATGGTGCAGCCGTTGTAGATGCTGATGTTGCAGCTATTAAAAAATGGAAATTTTAAAAAATCGATTATCTCACTTTGAACTAATTATAATCTATATATTATGAAACTTTAAAATAATTACAAATATTTTTATATTAAATAACAAAATTTTTTTTTTTGATATAAAAAATAGGTTCTAACATACTTTTATTTCCAGCACAAAGTCCACCATGCTGATCTAATGTAAGTGCACAAGTACCCTAAAAAAACAAAAATTCAAAAATATATTCATATGATATTATAATATATCATACCGGATCATACCAACAACCATCATCATTCCCGTAACCACATGATAATTGTCCACTTACAAATTGAGAACCGATAAGTGCTGTACCATTTGTATCGACCGCAGGGCATTTGCAGCTTGATGCTTTAAAATAAATTTATTGATAAGAAAAGATAAATTTTAAATCCTAATCATGGTTTTATAATGATTCATTTCAAAAAGAAAATCTTAATTAAGTAATTTTGCTAATGAAAATTTAAACTGAAAATATTCTATCTCATTTTCAAAAACATCATATTTAATTTAATTTCAATCAAAAATATATTACTGGTTGTTGTCATTGGAGTTGTTGTTGTAGTAGTTCCTCCGCCACCTTGTGCTGCTACAGTTGTCGTTGGTACTATAAGTAAATAAAAATCCATATTTGATTTCTACTTTATATTAAAATTGTTTTTTTCAAATCAATTAAACTCGTTAAAGATTTTATTATTAGAAAAAATAAAGAATATTGTATACTTACTAGCTTTATCTTGACAGAATCGTGAATCACCATCGGTACCAAGAGAACAATCAGTCTAAAAATAAGAAAAACAAAGATACATTGAGAAACCTAACATTAATTTAAAATATACTCGATATAAACAATATAAGGGACCACGACCATCTGCAAGAGTTTTAGCATAAAAACATTTCAGCTGTCCATCAGTTTGAACCTCACCTCCATCAGTAACAACATACGATCTAGTATCGTTTCCTGGACATTGACATCCGAATGCTTAAAATAAATATAAATAAATTTATTTACAAAAAAAAAATAAATAACAAACCTTGATTTATATTATTGTTCACAATCCATATAAAAATAATTGGAATTATGTAAAACATTTTTGTTTTCGAAAAATATATCTATATTAATAATAAAGAGAAAAAACAAAACTTTATATCATCATTCAATAAAAAATGACGTATATATTTTTCATGCAGTAGTAATTAGAAATATATCGACCATGACTTCCCGAATATAGGTAAAAAAATACGAGAGGTATAAATTTTCTTTTCTATCTTACATATTTTTTACATTAACAACAAATATATTACTCAAGGACATTTTTTTCTTTTGATATATTTATCTATTAATGGCTATTTGACTCTTTAACACTTGTACGAAAACAGTTATGAGAAGAAAATAAATAGAACAATTATTTTCATATGTATACAAACAACGTGATCAGTTTCATTATCTAAAATTATAGAATAAAATATTTGCATTGTTGATTATATATTATTTGTACTAACTGACATCATTATTTATCAGTCACATCATTGTATTTTGCTATTTAGTAAATACGTCATTTCATGCAATTACATAAGAAAAAATGTGAATTATTTCAGTGTAAAGTAGATCAAATAATTCTTAATTGAAAATCATATTTTCAGAGAATCAGAATTTTACCTACGATTTGTTTAAATTTGATTATTAATAAAAGGGTTTTTTCTTTCGAAAGTATGACGAAAAACCGTTTTGATTCAATGATTTGATATGAGTAATAGGTTGGCTATGAATAAGAAACGTAAAAATAAATTAACGAAGCAAAAAACCGATCGGTGAATAACAATAATAGGTCTTCGTTATAATCGGTTTTTGATTATTCATATCTGTCAGTGTTTAATGTATGCAAAAGTAATAATAATTATTGTAAAAAATATTTATTTGTTTTCGTTAAGAATCATCGAATTATAGAGTAAAACTGAATGCGAATCTTTACAGTCATATGAGGTTTTTTATCGATAAATTTATGATAAAAAATAGAAATGTTAGGTTTTTTCATTTCTTACGATTTTTTTTTATATAATATATTTATGTTAGAAATGTATTTAATAATATAAAGTAATGAATATTATCATGAAAAGAAGATGGTTATATTTTAGATTCATCTAATTGTATATTAATTAACTTAACGGGTCAACGCAACTGATATTAATTATATTAATTCAGATTTAATAAATCTTGCATAAATCATTAATTAATAGATAATATATAGATTTTGTTATTAATGAACTATCTTTATAATTATTATGTACTCATTTCAAATTAAAAGACGAGTGAGTATTTTGACGGAAAATCGAGTTTTTTGAAAATGTGTGATTTTAACTGAGAGACAAATGTTTTCAGATAGATTTCGATGCATCTCCGTCGCCTCTTTTCAATGGTAAAAATAAGTTATTCGAAAAATATTCATTATTGAGTGATTAAATTTCTTTTCAAGTCGTGTATAATTGTAGTAATTAATCAATAGATTTATGATAAACAAATATTAATCTCAATATGAAATGATACATAAAATACTTAATAAATAACAGTATTAATCATATATTTTTTTTAATAAGGTCTCGAATAAATCGAATTAAAATATAAATTAAAATGAAGTGAATCATAAATGTTTATGTTATTATATTTTCTATAACTTTATATATTCTTTTTTTTTTTGAATAACAATCTTTTGTAAAATATCTAATATATCCATAAACCGTGTATAGAAGTTGAAGTATGTCTGACCCAATATAGAACTTTATAAATATTTGAGAGTGACTGGAAATATGACTACTGTATTCATCTCACAACCACATCGTCTTCATCCTCAAATGATATGTCTGTAACTTCTATTGAACATGTATTTTTGTAATGTGTATTTCAAAAGAATTTTAAAAACAAAATGATGTTAAAAAATATATTTGAACAAACAATTTGTTATAGTTTTCTTCAGCAACAAAAAGTTTGGATATCGTTGAGAGGATAATTTCAAATGTCTTTTTTGAAAACGGATAATAATAAGCAAATATTTGAATGTTGAGTTAGACTTCGATATTTTAATACTGAAATATAACGGTCATCGTCTGACTTGTAGTACTACACGCCAGACGATTTATTCTACCTTAGCTAGGATTTGTATTGCATGATATCATCATATACCCGGGATTCGAGCAACCATTAGGATTACCGTTAGCGCTCAATTTATTTATATTTGAATTTGTACCAGCTTGCCGTGAACGATTGTTTGATGTCACTGGTCCTTACACTGATAAATTTCCCAAAGCCAATACTATGTTTGAAATAATAGTTGATTTAAAAACAGAGACGCTCACTGAATCGAGTGAGCCGCTTATTGTTGAAACTGTATAATTGTGGGTTGTTAATTGAGCTACAAAGTTTACCCATGCTGTACATTGACTTGAAGCGATGACATTTAATACAAAATTTTCAGAATATATAATTGTATTAGGAATGGGAGAAGTGTTCGTTATTACTGACGCTAAAAGATAAGGTTTGTTATATAAATCTTAGAGTTGCATAATAAATAAATGAATTTGTAACATGTAGTCGATCTTTCTGAAGAATCAACAGCTGTCAAAATATTCCAATATTAACAGCAAGTGACATTCAAAACATACAGCCGAATCTTACTAAATAAAATACCAGAATTATTTACTGTAGTTATATAGTCTTTAAAATGCTCAAATCATTCACTTTTATCTAATATCACTATTTAATGAAAGGATTCACACTTCATATAGATATAAAATCTAGACAATAAAATTTGATAGAGATACTTAGTAAATAATAAGAGGCACACTAATTATATGGGATATTCAAATCACAAAAGTTGAATGAATTCTTATCTGTCGATGACTGCCACATTGTTATAACTATAGCCAAAACAATACAACCCACCCAACAAACCGAATAACAAGCCAATCAAAAAGGTTTTGTAATTGGTAAAGCAAGATAAATAATTACAAATACATTTACAAGAGAAAATGAACAAAATGATATCACAAATATCAACAGCCGAATTAAACTGGCATATTCATACTTCTTATGGTTTGTTTCGCTCTCTGGTTGTTCTTCACTACTATATAAACGATCATTTGATTTATTAGAATTCAGAATATTTGACTGGACATCTTTTAGGGATAAACGATTGTTTATATAATCGATAACTGGCGGATTATGAATATTCAATTCAAAATTTGGTTGTGTTCGATTCGTTTGTGATACATACTGTCGCTATAAGAAACTAATTTTATTTACATTGGACTCCTAAAATTAGTTTAGTTTAGATTTTTGATCTACTTTCATCCAAAAGTTTCATTTTCATATACATCACCATTCGGTTTGATACAAAGGTAATTCTTTTACTTGTAAATACTAAACAATTTTCTAAAGAAAAAAATCTATTGCAAACCATGTAAATATCAATTTATTCAAATGTTGTTGATTATAACAAAAAATTCAAATATAATCAATACTCTTCTATTTAGAATTATATTTTAATTAATTTTATTTGCATTGAGTAATTGACTTCTTTTCTATTTTTTTACAAATACAATCTCTCTTACTAAAAGCACATCAATGGATTCACGATTCTTCAAGAATACCGTAAAAACGTTCTTATTTTCCACGTGATTCCATAGATGACGAGAGAATACTTTCAAATGTAGTATTACGTTTGCATTGAGACTTTGTGCATCTTAATGGCATAAACAAACTTTGTTCAGCGTAAAACAGAATTTTTCTCCATGATTTGATCTTTTATATTTCAAATTGAGTACAATTTACTCAAATAGCGTGAGACTAGGTATACAAGAATTTGACACGAAGAGCTATCGAAATAAATCCATTATTCGGTTTACTTCAGCCATGACATTTATTTTAGATTATAATAAAAATTACAAGATATACTTTTTACACATGCTCAAATTTCTTTTCTTGTTGTCTCGTTCACTGAACTGTTGTATGCATTTATAATTAATTATAAACCACTCATACCTAGACGGAGGTAGAGGTTAAAGTTATTTAAAAAAATACTTATTTTTCGAATAGATAAATATGTTCTTTTCAACTCAAAAAAAAAATAAATGAAATATTCATATCGATATTTATTTACACTCAGCTTTTCTTATCAAATAGAATTAACAAGCTATTTTAAATGCCTTTTTTGATGTATACTAAAACGACAAGAAGAAAATCTTGATTTTTTTTCTATATAAATAGTCACAAAAATATGATCAATTTATTACTAATTTTTCAACGTTTCAAATTTGTAATTATACAAAAAAACTCGATAAACTCCTGATTTTAAGAATTTTTTCGAGGCTTTTCATAAGTGTTATATAGAACTATAATCGAAAAAAATATAATTCTTTTTCTTAATCTATGAGTTTGTCGACTATAAGAGGGATTTATTTTTATGAATAAATACTTATTCATTAAGAATCCAGACGAAAGTAATTAAGATAAAATAAATATATATTTATTTAAATAAGTATATAAATATATAAACCCTAGAAATAATCAATATAAAAGAAATCTATTTATTCAATGAACTTGTTACAATTTGAATACAATCTAAATTGACGTCTATAGGATGTAAATCGTTTATAAATATCGTGTTTGATTATATCGCATAAGTTCTACCTAATAACTTTAAATTTCTATATAAAACAATGCTTTACATTAGCGTACGATACAAAAAATTCAATTGAATATATATTAATTGAGACAAATCAAATGTCGATTTAATAATTACATATTTATATTCATAAAGTACCGACTCGACGCCCTATTGAACAAAAAAGTACCATAATATTTATTTAAAGCTTACGTATTTTTATGTAAAAATATTTTTCAATTAATTCGCTTCATATAATATTAATTGTACTGGAAAATAGTATTATAATATTATAACTAATAGGCAAATGCTTGAAAAACTGTTTGCTATATACTCTAATGATGTTCTGACCTTCCTTCTTAGTTTTCATTTGAATAGCTTTAGAGAAAAATGATTTATTTAATAGAAATGTCACCAACTAAAGTTTCTCTATTTTTAATTTCCTTTTTGAAGTTACATTTCTTATTAGCTTATAATAAAAGATTTATTCTTTTATTCAATAAACATTTGTTAATGACTTTTAAAAATCCAGATATTTAATATCTCTTCTTACAATTGAACGACAACAACAACAACTAAATGATGTTAATGAATACTATCATGTTTCTTTTTTTAGATAAGATTGCAATTTTTTTTTGTTTTATGGAATCATAATAGACTAGATAACATCTTTCTCTTTTCTTTTCCTCTCTCTTCTTATTGTTAATTGAAAATAACACTTATCAACTAAATATAATAAAAGAAAGAAAGATTTTTAAAATTTAAAATTAACTATTACAACTTTCTATTTTTTTATACAACTCATAATAATCTCGAAAAAAGATAATCGATCGAATATTGCAATTTACTTGAATTATAAAACAATATTTGATTAAGAAAAAAAAGACAAAGTTCATATGTTATGTAGAATAATAAATGACTTCATTTGATGATGATTGTTGGACTTTCATCATTTGTAATGTTTCGGTACTAAACGATTATATATGTCCCGTAGAGAAAAGAAAAACTCATTCGATTTGCCCTGGAGAAAATCATGCTCTTTGAGAAAGAAAAAAAGAAACACGTTTCTTTCATTTTATTATAGAAGAAGAAGAAAAAAAGAACGAACGTTGAATTTTTTATAATAAACGATTGTTATATACAGACGATGTTGAGTATTGATCATTTGATGACGTCACTTTTAGTAATTTAATTTTTGATGAATCTATTTGAAGTGTATTTTGTATTTGTTGACTTCCAGCTAATATTTTTAAATTACGCTGTTCAATTGTTAAATATCTTGAAAACATTTCATAATGATGTAAACCTAACATTCGTATAGTTGATGAACGATAATGATTAACACCTAATATATACAAGAAAAAATTTATACCCAATGCAGCAATATTTAATAATTCAGTTAAACGTTTTAATATACGTAATTTTAAAATAAAACGAATATTGCAAGCATATCGTTTATAACGAATTGCAATATAAGATATTGCTTCAACAATCGCAAATGGAAAATATAATGAAAGAAATAATAATGATAATACTGTTAATGTACCCGTTAATTTGGAACGTATATGTTCATTTTGATTACTTACAATTGGACGAGGAGTATGAATACGTTTTAAGATAGCTAAATAAAAAAAAATAAGTAAAATATAATTTGAACATTCATTTTTCTAGGAAATTAATCTAACCTGCATTACTTGCAATTAACATGACAGCTGGTAGAATTGTATAACATAAGAGATGAAAAATATAATTGTGCCAAAATAAAAAAACTTCTTTTGTACGTTGCGAAATATCTGGTGATATACGACATGAGCATGTTTGTTTAGAAGAAGAATTTTTTGTATGATCTGAATCATATTTTTGATTATAAGCAGCACTATTCTGAAAACCAGGTGCCCGACAATGCCATTCTTTATAAATTAAATGTGGAATATTTACAATTAGAGACATTAATATTAATATTAATATAATACGTTTAGCACATTTTGAATTACATAAACGACGTGATAATTTCGGATATTTTTTTGACCACGGATTACAAACAAGTACACAACGATCAATGGTTAAACCAACAATTGTCCAACATGATAATAATATAATTGAGTATTTAAAATAATCATAAAATTTACAAACAAATGAATAACGAAAATTTAACAAACTTTTAGAAAATAAATAAATTGATAAATCATTTAATGCTTGAACAACTTCATATAATAACGTTAAAAATTCAAAAAATGATAATGCACGAAGATATTCAACGAATGAATGTGTAGATAATGTAAAACGACATACAACAAAAAAACATATTATATTACCAATTAAACCAATTAAACCAAATATAAGTGTACCTTAACGAAAAATCAGTTCATTTTTTTTTATTTTATTTTTAATTAAAACAAAAGGAAAATATTTTAAACTAAGAGAAAAAAAATTGTTTTTTTTGCTCAAAAGAAAAAAAACTATTTTTCTTTTAAATATTTAATAAACCGGAAACTCCGTCGATTGAAAATAATTTTTTTTCTTCTATACATACCGAGAATATTGGTCCACCACCACCATGATCCTGAATCATCACTGTATGCTTGATTGAACATAAGACTTGAATAATTCCTTTGTTGATAAATTTCTGTACAATTCATTTCATAATTAATTTTTGTTATCAATAAATATAATAAATGTCAGTCATCAACTATGTTGCTCTTTATTAACTAAAAAACAAATGACGAATGAATTAGTTCTTTCTTGCCTTTTTTATCTTCTCACTCTCTCTTTCTCTCCCCCACTCTTTTTTCTCATTTAAAAGAAAAGAAAAGAAAAAATACACAATTATAGCTTTTTTTTCTTTCTTTCCAAGAATATTTCTTTTCATATCGCTTCTAAGTAAATGCATTTACTTTTGAACTTGATAGATCTTTTTTTCTGCTTCATTTATTATTTTGTATATATAATAATAAGCTAAGGTTGTTCGAACACTATGCATGTCTGATTATCACATGTCTATAAATCATATGACGTCAATAAATTTTATTCATATCAAATTTCTAATTTGTAGGTATGAACAAAAATACCATATGTAAAGTATTTACACAACACACAGTTACCAAATTCTAACAATATGTGTGTGTGTTTTTTTCTTTATATGATGGAAAACAGACATTTATAAATATTCAATGTAATCAGTTTGTTTGCTTTTTCTTTAACTTGAATCGTTTTAGTAGTAAATACCCACAGTGAGACAGTACGATTGCCAGAAGGTGTACCTGGAAAAACCGATTATTATTCAATTCTAACAGGAAAAAAAACTATATTATGTATCATGAAAGATATTTTCTTTTTAAAAAATCTAAAAATACATAGATTAAAATAATGTGAATCTGAATAGTAATCCATCGCATTAGTTCTAACGATATATTTACTATTCAACCCATCTGAACTTCCTAATACTTTCCTTCTTTCTGCTCATGCATAAGTTACACTAAATTATGTACTAGTTTACACAGAAAAAAACTTATACAATTATTAAATGAGATGAAAAAAAAAATAGGGAGTAGCCAAAATAAAAGTTCATGTTAACCTTTATTATAAATGATCGGAAAAAGAATATTTTCTATAAAATAAATATTTAATAATCATTGTCATCATTAAAATAAATAAATAAAAATCGCGAGATTTTTATCATGATACAAATATTAAATGAAAAGTTTATTTGAATTTGTTTTTTCGACGGAATTATTTTTAACATTTTTGATAATGATATCACATGGTTATCTAAGTATTTCTCTTAAATTATAATAAAATAAAATTAATTAGAAAACAATTCAAGTATACCATACTTAAACATAATTTATTCTATAAAAATAAAATAAAATCGAATTGACACATTTTATACCTTGATAAAGTACAACTCTTATATTATAATTATACATTATTTAATTAAAATAAAAATGAATAAGATATTTGATACTTAATCATATCTTACAAAAATGTACTTTATATTCTCATGTCTAAAAAACGACTAATCTTCGTTCGCTTATACGCACAAAAACTAATAGAAATCGTTTTCCATTCTATTACATATATTATTATATTGGAAAAAATTTTCTTTCATAATGTATATTCGAATTCTATTGAGATCACAACAAAAGAATTTTATTGAGTATATAAATATAGAACATTAGAAATATAAGTGTTTACATAAGAGTCTAAAATATAGTTGTTATTTATATTCATTTTGTCTGATAAGTTCAAAAACTTATGTCATTTCAACATCGTCTATATAACAAGAAGCTTTTCAATTAGAAATATTTTCCGTAATTTACACAATGTCAAACAAGTTGTTTAATCTATGATTAGTCAAAGATTATAAAAGTTTATTGTTTTTCGAATAGAGACAATATTCAATTATCATATTAGATATTTCTACTGCTTGTCTTTCACGTCGTCTAGTTAATTTATGAAGTTTTCGAAATACTACTAAAAAGAAATCGGTACATTGACTTTATCGACACAAAAGATTTCTATTCCTAAGGCGCAAAAATAACATCTACAGAGTTCATGTATAAAGAAGTCAGATTAACCTATGAGAGTTTTGTTGGCCAACCCTAGGATATTTGAGATTAATTTAGAGAAAATGTTCAAAGTGCGTAAAAAATATTTTTCTTTCCAGGGCGACGAATGCTATGATGTGAGATAGTGTAGATGCGTACTTTATAGAAAGTATATATATGAATTTGCTCTCTAGTTAAACAGATTTTTTTTCCAGAATAAAAGTCAGATAGTTTAATTTCGACATTAGATCGGACTAGAAATAATTTTCAGAGAAAAAGACAAATTTGTTTCAATGTGTTTAAGCATAAAATTCAAACTCTTGATCGATTTTTCTCACTTATTGTCATATCAACAAATTATAAATATTTTATATGAACCCATTATTACCTAGATCGATAATTCCTGAAGCAGTATTGTGTGATTTTCCAGTCGGAATCCAGTGACTATATCTGACTGTCGATTTTGAAAGATTTTTGTCTGTTCCGGACTGTACTTATCGGGCTGGAATATTTCAATTCTAGACCAAGCAAAAAAAACTATTGAAATAGTTGCACTTATTTTAAAATTCTTACTTTAATTTATTTTAAGAAAGTTTTTAAATTAAAAACTTATCACATGTGACTATTGAAATGAGTGTAAATATAGTAAAAACAAATATAAAATTACTTATTTGTCTTGAAAATGGTAAGAAAATATTGAAAATAGAATAAAGTAAATATTTTCTTATTAAAGCCATGATAAATTACCCAAAGTTCAAAAAAATGTCGATCTTAACAGAATATCAAATGAATGTTTTCGATATAAATTATATCAATGGTAGTAATTCAGTCATCGAGTATTTGTTTTTCTAAGTCCATCGAACCCATTCTTAAATTTCTTAATACTCAGAATTCTGAAATAAGGATATGTGACACACGTTTTGAAATATATTGTATAAGACACTCTTACGGGAAAAAAAAAGCTTTTACATGAATACCTAGTTGGTTTCCTGACACATTCGTGTACTATGATGAAGTTATTATTTATATGTGTCAGACAGTATTAGTGTCGAGTTGCTTTTATTAAAGTCATCTAATACTTTTTATTAGTAAAACTAAATCAATTTTTGTTTAATATGTGTACATATAAAAATTATATCGCTTGGCGAACATATTAGGAGTCCAATCTGGATTAAAATACTAAGAATAGAAAAATAAATTGACGTTGAACAATTAGATATAAGATAATAACATTATTTTTCGTAATAAAATTAGTGTCAAATTAATGTGAATCCTTTTTTTTTGTTGACGATTAGATTGTCCTTGTCGAGTTGAATGCAAACAAAGATTCTATTCTTTAAAGAAATTTTGACGGGTAGAAATCGAGTTTTTTTTCAATAGTCTTTCGAAGTTAAAATTAAAATATAATTATTATACGAATAAATGCATCTATACGATCTATTGCAAATAATATTCAACAATAATATAATCATGAAATGTTTAATAAGCGTAAAAAATAAGAAATTAGGACGTCCGCAGATTTTGTTTGTAAAGCTATGCAACGGGTTAGAACGACTCAGTGAGATATTTGTTTTCTACTCTTGAGTTATTAGAAAGTGGTTTTAAAATCTAGTTACCAGTATATTCGCTCTAGAATTTATTGCTGTAAATATTAGAGAACGTACATGAAAATGATCTATCATTGTGATAATATTTTGATCTGGATAGCGAAACTTCAGATTTATAGGATAAGATAAAACTCGAATGATTATCTGGTCACGTCCTAATGTTGAATCAATAAAATCTTGTATTTATTTACGCGAAAACTGGATTTTCTTAATTTTTTGTCAAAATTTCATCTAAATGATAGATCATTTTGTGGAACTCATATACAAAAATGTGAGTGTGAGTTATAAATTCAAATTTTGCGACTTCCCCTTACTAACGGAGAAAAAACTCTTGTTTTTTCATTAAAAACCTCTGTTTTCAACTTTTTCTTCCTTGGTCCTTTCTCACAATCAGACTGGCAGCACAGATAGATGCTCTCAATTAAAAATATCTGAATTTATATATTGAGATTTTTCATCATCTTCTCCTTGGTATACGCTTTAGGAACCGAGATTAAAGTTCAACAGTAGATTGAATAATGATTAGACATCGTGATCGATTAGTGGTAGAAATATTACAAATTTTGTTTTATTTGAAATATCAAAATAAATTTTCACTGTGGCATCAAAATAATCTTTTTTCCGACTTTCATTTTAGAAGTAATACATATTGTTTGCATTCACTTGATCTATGACTAAATACGTAAGACTATCTGAATGGTAGATGCCAATGTGCAATTAGATCGAATTGAAGACTATCCTTCTATATAATTTTTTAGAAATGATTCAGTTGAAAACGATCTTATTTCTATAAGAATCAACTTGAAAAAGATATATTTCCGATATTTTAACATCTTGTCTATCCGCATTTGTATCTACACTCTCAATTAGAAACACAAGCTAAATATAGAATACTTGAAATAAACAGAAAAATAACATTTAATAAATATATAAGATTCTTTTATTAATAAGTTTTTTGATTAAAATGATTAAATTAATAGATAATTTTTTTAATTACGAAAAGTATAACTCGGTGTTTGAGTTACAATATCATTATCATTTGTAACGCATGAAACACGAAGTGGATCAAACATATAATTTTCCATTCCATTTCTTGCATTATAAGGATGAAGATCTAAAACGAGAAAAATATAAAATTAAGAAATATGAAGATATTAATCTTACTGCTATCAAATGCAAGTATAACTTGAGATGCCTGTTCGAATGATTGTCCAACCAATTCTGGCCATTGTTTTTGCATCGACATTATTTAAGTTAAATAATATTGAAAATAAATAGACGAAGGTAAACTGCCTCAATAACTATTGACAAAATTAAATACTGTTCTATAGATAAAAATACGCTTCTATTTTCTTGATATTTCGAACGAAAAAAATATATATTAGGTATGTTGGTTGCCTATTTTGATCATCATGTTATTGATAAAAAAATATTAACATGCATAGAAAGAAACTAGTATGCATGAATGACTTCATCTTACTTACTATTTACAATAAATCCAAAGAAAATCATATTTTTGTTGATTTGTGTATAATAATTTGACAGCTGTACAGAATAAATATTTAGGTAATAAGCATAATAAAATAATCTGATTTTTCATACTTTATTCAAAAGAAAAATCAAGTAGATTTTATTGAAATATTTGTATCATCTTGTTAGATATGTTAATTTCTTTTCAAAGAATATTATTTTATTGTACATACGATGATAAACATACAATATTCAAAATTGCTTCATACAGAAAAGGTCTTATTTTCGAGCTTATGTCTTCTCTCTATAGACAGTTATTTTCATTTTAATCCTAATAACGAAATATACGTTCTATAAGTGTATAGACAAAGGACATCATTAGAACAAAAAACTGTACGAATAAGGTTTCATTTCTGAATATCTATGTATCTTTTGTAATAGTTTCGTGATGATTCTTTCTGTACGAAAAAGGATGATATTATTAGATTTTGACATTGTATGAGTTCTGGATTGTTAAGAGAGAATCTGCATAGGATGTGAACGTATCAGATTATAAATCGGTTCATTTTTTAGATATTGAAAACAATATGTAAAACGATGCATTTCTATTGTTAATTCAATACATCCCAAAAGCATTCAATGGGATTCTATTCTAAGATGAGGATGTATTGTGAAGAAAAGTTGATATCAATATATGTTGTTACGGCTCTAAAAAGTCTCATTAGAAAGAACAGGCACATAATGAATATGAACGTTTAGAACAACACATAATATAATTTATATAGAAATTAAACATATTTTTTATTTATATTTCGGTGTAGAATTATCATGTCCAAAGCAGAATGGTTTTGTCCTAGTTTATGTTTCATTTTTTCTTCAAATCTATACTTTACGTACTATTTTTTTCATAAAAATATGTCAAAAACAGTTCCACTATAATTATCTATGCGTCATGAGTTACACTTTTTCATATAAATGTATAATTTTAGTTTTTTCAACCCAATCTATTCTTTATTTCAACCTACGTCAAGTATTAGAAATTTGAGATTAAGAAGCTTTTTTTTTCACGGCAGTTTGCTCGAATGCACTACTGTTTAATCAATGTTCAAATGGAGAAATAAATTTTTGGTCTGATGATTCTTACTAAAAATAAATTTATCTTTTTTGCAATTTCACAAGTCTGTCCTTGATAAATTAAACATCAAAGTCATCTTGTAACAAACTAATGGAAAAATATTTTTAGCCTAATCATAAACATTATTTAACAAGAGTGACTTTGTTAAAAAGACACAAAATTATATTTTAGTTGAAGTAAGATAGAAACAACAAATCTTCTTCTTTTGATTAATATATCCTTTCCACATCAAAAAGTAAATCATTTATAATGAATCCCTAATAACTATCAGTTATCTTTTATTATATTATATTTTTCTACAGTCTGATGTTTACTATCCTATTTCATACACTATGAGACCTTATACGTAGTTAGAGTTTTTAAGTTTATTCTTTAAAAAAATGATATTTATTGATAGGATAGGCAGCAAAAATGCTATATTACAGAAATTATTGAGTAGATGTTTGTGACACAAATAAGAGAGTATGTTATAGTCACTTTCTTACAAAATATTAATAGAAACAAAAGAAAAATTAGCTCAGATGTCAACATCAGTCTCATCTATCCTCAATCTTATTCAAGAAAAGTTCTGATAAAGTTCAAAGAAATTGCGTTTGTAGTATAATAGAATTCTTGATTATTTCTTTCTTTATAGACACAAAATGGGTAATGGATATTCAGCTTCATCAATAAATTTCGCCTTCATAAACCAATGCGTCAATCGATATTTTTCCATGTTTCTTTTGTTTTTTGGTACAATTGGAAACCTTTTAAATCTCTTAGTATTTACACGAAAAACATTTCGTAATAATATTTGTGTCAATTATTTTCTGGCATCAACAATCTCCGATTCTTTTATTATTATTAGCGGAGTTATTCCACGTTTGCTCAATGGATATGGCATGGATTTATCACAAACTTCATCCATTATTTGTAAGCTGAAATTTTTTGGAATATATCTTTCAGGATATGTAGCTGCTTGGTTTACTTGTTTGGCTTGTATTGAACGATATCTTTCATCATCAGAAAGTGTTTATAGGCGTCATCTGATTACAATGAAACGGGCTAAATTATCTATGATTTTTGTTATATTGTTTGGATTTATTATATTTGGTGAACATTTCTATTGTATTGATATTAATCAAAATTTATATGGTGCACCACAATCGTGTAATCAATTAAAAAGAGATCTTGCATGTCAAATAGCGGATAGTGTGCTGCAATTTACATTCGAAATGTTTACACCAGCAGTAGTGATGATTATTTTTGGTGTGTTAACATTGCAAAATGTTCGTCAAAGAAAACGTCGTGTTAATGTATTACAAACCGCGAATAGAAGAATTCCGTTGATTGCAGTAACAAATATAAGTCACCCTTCTATAATACAACAGCCAACAAATGCAATAATCGGTCCAAACAACCAACCAGCTACAATGGAAATTAACCGAGCAGCTCAAAAGCGTGAAATGCAGTTGATTATAATGCTACTCGTACAGGTATGTACTAAGCATAAAAAGAAATAGAAATGGAACAGAACTAACTATTTTTTCATATTCAATATTTATCTAGGTTATTGTTTTCATCGTTTCTTCATTTCCTATCAGCGTCTATAAAATTTATTCTATGGCGACTATTACTCAAACAAAATCAACTCTACGTGCGTCAAGTGAAAATACATTATACAATATATTTATACTATTTTTATATATCAATAATAATATTAAATTTTACACTTATACTTTATGTGGTGCCACATTTCGAAAGGAATTATTAAAACTATTTCGTTTAGCTAAGTGATGAACTTATTAAACAAATGAAATAAGTGATGACTAATGAAGTTTTCTCTATTTATTGTCTAGTCGTCAATTATCTATATTTATTATTTATATAACATTTACAAATTGCTGTTGTATATGCTTTCATTGTAATAAATTTTATTTTAAACATGTCTGCACCGAATTAAATAAAATATTGTATCCAAAAATAGTTGTTTTACTATAATAAAATGACATTATATAAACTATAAATAATCTCACAGTTATTTTACAACCATTTTGAGAAAACAACTGTTAGCGTACTCGCTGGTGAGATTAAAATATGAAACACGATTTAACTGTTGTTTCTATCTTCAAGAGGATAGTTTAATTGTATCACTATAAAGCAACTTTTAGCTCATCTTGTGACATGAAGGTATATAAATATTAGAAAGAAATAATTTACATATAATGAACACGTTTGATTAGCATTTTAACAGTTGTTATAGAATGTTATTTTGTTGTGGAATTCAATGTTCATGTCTATGATGGTCAGAGTTTGTGACATAATCAAAAGAACATCTGTCGTTCATGGTTTGCGATGTTATATTAATTACTTATATGAAGGCCTTTGATAATCTGTCGGTCACGTCTGGGAGTGATCGCGGGTTATTGGATTCAAATTTCTACCCCTGAACACTTCGACGCTCCTTTCAGATCGTGTTTTACAAAAATGTTATCTTTAAATAATATATATCGATGGATAAAAATAATAGTTATCGAAATAGAGAGCGCGAAGATAATCAATCAGAAGAGAGAACAGATAATAATATACTACGTCGCTACATCCGTATCCTCAAAACAATACCACATACGAATATTCGTTAAAATTTTTCTAATACTGAAAAAAGCTTATAATAAAAATTTATGCATATTAATTCTTTAGAAAACATCATATTTAAATCAAATAAATAAGAATACGAGCAAAGCAAAATAAAATTTTCTTTATTGAAAATCTTACAAAAGATCAGAGAAGTGTAAATATTTCGTTAGATCAAATAACAATCAACAAGAATATACACAAAAGTCATGAATTGCATCGTTTATTTTTCTTTCTTTGATATCTGGTGAGGGAATAGTGGACTTTTATCTCACAGAACTAGCATTTCGATTATTTGATAATATAAAATCTGTTAATGTTTATCTGGAACGTTTTGTAGATAGATAATTGATCTTTGATTAGAAAAAATAGATTTGTATTTAAATAAAAATAATTCATTATTTATTGTTTATTTATTGTATATTCATCAAAACTTCTGCTATGTTTTGTTAATTTTACATAGATTTCTTCATACTTTCAATCGTATGTATTTCATTTCATTGGAAAAAAAGATTCGAACAAAATTTGTTTTCAAATATCTGTCAGTTCGTATATCATTTGCATAAGACACGATGAGTTTTTATCATAATCAAACAGATTTTGCAAGAAAATAATATCATTCCTGTATAAACTAAAGATATACTTAGTTGGCTGTGAATGAGAATAGAAGAAGAGCCAGTCATACTCCCGCCGAGATTCTTAATTTCTGAAGATGTTAGTATTGTTAGCAGCCATGTGTGGATAATAGCGCAGAAAATGTTTTTTTTATTTATATATTTTTGTATTTCACTGTAGACTTATTATGTTCAAAGCAGAATGACTTTATCTTAATTTATTTTTCATTTTTTTTTCAAATCTATAATTAATATGCTTTTTTTTTATAAAAAATATGTCAAAAACAGTTCCAGCACAATTATCTGTATATCACAAGTTACATTTATTCATATGAATGTATAATTTTAGCTTTTTAAATCTAATCTATTCTTTATTTCAACCTACATCAAGTATTACAAAATTAAGATTAAGAAGCTTTTTTTTCATGAAATTTTGCTCTAACGCACTAGTGTTTAATCAATGTTAAAATGAAGAAATAAATTTTTTGTCTGATAATTCCTTCTAAAAATAGATTTGTCTTTTTTGTAATCTCATCATTTTCCCATTGATAAATTAAACATCAACGTCATCTTGTAATAAACTAATGAGCAAGTATTTTTAGCCTAATAATAAACATTATTTAACAAGAGTAACTTTGTGTAAAAGACATAAAATTATATTTTAGTTGATGCGCCAAAGGAACAACAAATCTTCTTCTTTTGATTTATATATCCTTTCCACAATAAAAGGTAATTCATTTATAATGAATCTCTAATAACAATTAGTTTTCTTTTATTATATTATATTTTTCTATACTCTGAAGTTAACTATCTTATTTCATATACTATGAGACCTTATACGTAGTTGGAGTTTTTAAGTTTATTCTTTAGAAAGATGATATTTACTGATAGATTAGGTAGTAAAATGTTATATTTCAGAAATTATTGAATAGATGCTTGTGACACAAACAAGAGAGTATGTTATAGTCACTTTCTTACAAAATATTAATAGTAACAAAAACAAATTAGTTCAAATGTCAACATCAGTCTCGTCTATCTACTAGCTTATTGGAAATTTTTTTAATAAAAACTAAAGAGATCTGTGTTTTCTAGTATAATACAACTCTTAATTATTTGTCTCGTTATAGATACAACATGGGTAATGGACTTTCATCTACGTCAATAAATTTCGCCTTTATAAATCAATGTATTAATCGATATGTTTCCATTTTTCTTTTATTTTTTGGTACAATCGGAAATGTTTTAAATCTCTTAGTATTTACACGAAAAACATTTCGTAATAATATTTGTGTGAACTATTTTTTGGCATCAACAATCGCCGACTCATTTATAATTCTTAGTGGAGTTCTTCCTCGTTTACTGGGCGGATATGGCATGGATCTATCACAATCGTCATCCATCCTTTGCAAGTTGAAATTTTTTACAATATATCATTCAGGATATACAGCTGCTTGGTTTACTTGTTTGGCTTGTATTGAAAGATATCTTTCATCATCAGAAAGTGTTTATAAGCGTCATCTGATTACAATGAAACGTGCTAAATTATCTATGGTTTTTGTTATATTGGTTGGAATTATTGTATTTGGCGAACAATTCCATTGTATTGATATTAATCAAAATTTATATGGTGCACCACAATCATGTTATCAATTAAAAAGAAATGTTCAATGCCAAATTGCTGATAGTCTGATGCAATTTATATTTGAAATGTTCATAGCAGCCGTAGTGATGATTACTTTTGGTGTGTTAACATTGAGAAATGTTCGTCAAAGAAAGCGTCGTGTTAATGTAGCAAATACGACAAAGAGATTAGTTCCATTGTTTGCAGTAACAAATATAAGTCATCCTTCTGTAATACAGCAGTCAATAAACATAACTATAGGTCCAAACAACCAACCAGCTACAATGGGAATTACTCGAACAGCACAAAAGCGTGAAATGCAACTGATTATGATGCTGCTGATGCAGGTATGTGTGAAGCATAAAAAGAAATAGGAACGGTATAAATAGTGACTGTATTTGTATAGGTTGTTGTGTTCATCGTTTCTACATTTCCAATAAGTATCTATAAAATCTATTCCATTGCAACTATTGATCAGACAAGATCAGTACTACGTGCATCAATTGAAAATACAATATTCAATGTATTTGTGCTTTGCTTATTTCTTAATAATAATATTAACTTTTACATTTATACTTTATGTGGCGCCACATTTCGAAAGGAATTATTAAAGTTATTTCATTTAGCTAAGTGATGAATAATCAAGTGTTGTCTAATTAGTTTCTATTCATAAATTACCTGCAATTATTATTTATACAACATTCGTAACTCTTTGTTCTATGTAGTTTCTTTGTAATAAATTTTATTTTAACATATCTGCATTGGAATTAAATAAATATTGTATCTAAAAATAGTTTTTTTATTGTAATAAAATGACATTATATAAGCCATACGTAATCTCACAATAATCTTACAATCTTGAAAAAAGTGGTTAGCGTACTCGCTGGTGGAATTAAAATATGAGACACGATTTAACTGTTGTTTCTATCTTCAAGAGGATAATAATGTATGAAATTAATGGAGACACGAGATTTTAATGTAATAGTTTAAATAAATGTAGAATATGTAGTGAAAATCTTATATTTTTAACAATAATGGAAATTTTCGATCATTTTCAACCAAAAACACAACCAAGAATATACACATATAATAAAGTTACAACAGTGCAAAAATTATTATTATTACACAGTAGATATTCGTACATGAGTTGTTCGTAAGTGTATAGGTACATGGAATAAATTATGATTTAAGATCGATTAATTTATTATTGGTGATGGTCAGCATTGTTTATTATTAATATTCATGTAGATGTTTATGTTGTTAAAGTTTACGTTTCCTGTATATATATAACTGTAGTTGTAACATTATGATTTTTGTACTGTTGTAACTTCATGATATTTGTACTTTTTTGGTTGATAATGACCGAAAGAATGATTGAAAAGGGTGTGGGTGTGGGTGTAGACACAAATGAAAGAGAACACATCCACACCCTCTTAAACCATGTTCTAAATTTTCGACATTTTTCCTTTCGACAATAGTCAGTACATTCTTTCTTTATACTTGCAATCGTATGTACCATATTTCATTGGAAAAAAAGATTTGAACATTTTTTTTTTGCAAATATCTATCAGTTCCGATGACATTTGCATAAGGAACTATGAAATTTTATCATAATGAAGCAGATTTTCTAAGAAACAATATCATTTATATAGAGATTAAAGATATACTTAGTAGGGTATGAGTGAGAATAAAAGAAAAGCCAGCCATACTCTCGCTGAGATTCTTAATTTCTGAAGATGTTAGTATTGTTAGCAGTCATGTGTGGATAATATCGCAGAAAATGTTTTGTTTTATTTATATAATTATATTTCACTGTAGAATTATTACGTCCAAGGCAGGATGACTTTATCTTAATTTATTTTTCATTTTTTTCTTCAAATCTATAATTGATGTACTTTTTTGTCGTAAAAATATGTCAAATATAGTTT